TGTTGTATTCTATGTTCTTTGTCTTTCTGTGTATGTTTCCACCCATGAAAATGGACCTTCCTAGCAATAGCTTCTGGGTGTTATACCTTCAGGGCGACAGCATGCTTGGCTATTTATTTCTGGTGCATGACACATTTGTTTTGTAGGCCTATAGTGTTACACATTTTCGTCTCCTTATAAAAGCCCCTAAAATGTCCTCAGGCATACTTTTTTTTATAGCAGATATCCATTTTACAGCCATTTTAGAGAAACAAACGTGTTATATGCATTCCAGCCCAGATATGACATATGATATATCTTGTTTTGTTCTGTTGCTGTTCCCTTTAAACTGAAAATCGTGCATCATTGGACATGGTTTACTCTGTATTTTATGGATCTACTTGACGAAAGAGCAGTGGAGGTGGAAGCATCATTGAAAAAGAGCAGTGGAGGTAGAAGCATCATTGAAAAAGAGCAGTGCTGCTCAAAAAGCAGTGTCAACCTCATGGAGTTCAGGGTTCCCTTTGTTATCTCTGTGCTTCACTCTGTTTCGTCTTCATGTCCTTTTAGCGATTGTCACAGTGTCAGTGTCCTTGCTTTAGTTTTGTGGCATTTGAACAGGAAACAGAGGGAGATACTCTGTCACTGTGATTAGATATGTCATTGATGGTGGTGTAAAATCATATTTGCTTTTAAGAGGTTGCTCTTTTTAGATCCACCTGTATGTCAGTCAACAGAGGAAATATCAGGGTTATTAATGATCAGGCACTCAAGGGATGAGGGTGAAGCTTCTGTTCTATGTATCTCACGGGAAGACACCATTATCTACAGTAGATAGTTAACATTTGAATTACAGTCAGTGTTCTCTTTATCACACAATGCAGAGAGAAGAAGGAGATTGTGGAAGTATGTACCCATATATGATTCATACTTCTTATCACAGACTGCAGATTGTAATAAAGCACGTCTTGTTTTTATCCGGGTATATCATAAATTATTTGGGTGACATATAAATCTCCCCTGTTTATAATTCTAGAATGGGAAAATAAGGTAGCAAGCAATATGGCCGTCCTCCTTGTACACAAACTCCTTTTGCATGCAGTGCTTCTCTATGGCTCTGTCTCATTTCAGCACATTTCTGTAGCAGGGCATCTCTCTCTCTTTTCTCTCTCTCGCTCTCTCTCTCTCTCTCTCTCTCTCGCTCTCTCTCTTCACGTGCACTCTCTCTTCTCCAATTCTCTTTCTCCTGCTCTCTCTCTCCCTCCCCACCCCTCCCACGCTCTCTCCCTTCCCACCCACACTCTCTCCCTCCCCACCCCTTGCTCCCTGCCTGGCACAGCAGTCTCTGGGCAGACACACTGATCTTCTCTCCCTGTGAATGGTTATCTATTTGGGCACGCTGAAGCTAGTCAGTGGCCTACAGTAGCTTGCGAAAGTATTCACCCCCCTTGGCATTTTTCCTATTTTGTTGCCTTACAACCTGGAATAAAAATGGATTTTTGGGGGGTTTGTGTCATTTGATTTATACAACATGCCTACCACTTTGAAGATGCAAAATATTTTTTATTGTGAAACAAACAACAAATAAGACAAAAAAACAGAAAACTTGAGCGTGCATAACTATTCACCCCCCCACCCCCTAAAGTCAATACTTTGTAGAACCAGCTTTTGCAGCAATTACAGCTGCAAGTCTCTTGGGTTATGTCTCTATAAGCTTGGCACATCTAGCCACTGGCATTTTTGACCATTCTTCAAGGCAAAACTGCTACAGCTCCTTCAAGTTGGATGGGTTCCGCTGGTGTACAGCAATCTTTAAGTCATACCACAGATTCTCAATTGGATTGAGGTCTGGGCTTTGACTAGGCCATTCCAAGACATTTAAATGTTTCCCCTTAAACCACTTGAGTGTTGCTTTACCAGTATGCTTAGGGTCATTGTCCTGCTGGAAGGTGAACCTCCGTCCAAGTCTCAAATCTCTGGAAGACTGAAACAGGTTTCCCTCAAGAATTTCCCTGTATTTAGCGCCATCCATCATTCCTTCAATTCTGACCAGTTTCCCAATCCCTGCCGATGAAAACATCCCCCAGCATGATGCTGCCACCACCATGCTTCACTGTGGGGATGGTGTTCTCGGTGTGATGAGAGGTGTTGGGTTTGCGCCAGACATTTTCCTTGATGGCCAAAAAGCTCACTTTTAGTCTCATCTGACCAGAGTACCTTCTTCCATATATTTGGGGAGTCTCCTACATGCCTTTTGGCGACCACCAAATGTGTTTGCTTATTTTTTTCTTTAAGCAATGCCTTTTTTATGGCCACTCTTCCATAAAGCCCAGCTCTGTGGAGTATACGGCTTAAAGTGGTCCTATGGACAGATACTCCAATCTCCGCTGTGGAGCTTTGCAGCTCCTTCAGGGTTATATTTGGTCTCTTTGTTGCCTCTCTGATTAATGCCCTCCTTGCCTGGTCCGTGAGTTTTGGTGGGAGGACCTCTCTTGGCAGGTTTGTTGTGGTGCCATATTCTTTCCATTTTTTAATAATGGATTTAATGGTGCTCCGTGGGATGTTCAAAGTTTCAGATATTTTTTTATAATCCAACCCATATCTGTACTTCTCCACAACTTTGTCCCTGACCTGTTTGGAGAGCTCCTTGGTCTTCATGGTGCCGCTTGCTTGGTGGTGCCCCTTGCTTAGTGGTGTTGCAGACTCTGGGGCCATTCAGAACAGGTGTATATATACTGAGATCATGTGACAGATCATGTGACACTTAGATTGCACACAGGTGGACTTTATTTAACTAATTATGTGACTTCTGAAGGCAATTGGTTGCACCAGATCTTATTTAGGGGCTTCATAGCAAAGGGGGTGAATATATATGCACGCACCACTTTTCCATTATTTATTTTTTATAATTATTTGAAACAAGTAGTTTTTTTCATTCCACTTCACCAATTTGGACTATTTTGTGTATGACCATCACATGAAATCCAAAATAAAAATCCATTTAAATTACAGGTTGTAATGCAACAAAATAGGAAAAACGCTAAGGAGGATGAATACTTTTGCAAGGCACTGTAAGCACCACCACCACCACAATGACAACGCTGTCCTTCAGCACACTACAGTTGACCCCTACAGTTCTCTGTGACCCCTGCCTAGAATTTCATTGTATCCGCCGTGATCAGATGTAGGATCTGTTATATAATCAATATCAGTTGAATTGGTCTGATGGGGGGAGCGAGGATGAGGTTAAGGATGGGGGAGAGTGCATGAGGGTGGGTGATTCAGCTTTGATCAAGCTGCAATCAATAAATTGTATCACTTTAGAATTGTCTGGATTAAATGCAGAAAAGAGGCATTCTCCTTTATCTCTTTATTTTGGTCGTGATTCAAGGTTCTGCCCCATAGAGTGCAGCACCTAGCAACAGCAGCATGTCCATGTTATATTTAGTCTCACTTTTATGTTTTGTTTAATGTGGAGTTCACATGGATTTCCATCCCACTGGGCACAGACGTCATTTCAATGTCTAGTTTAAATTTACATTTGGTTGAGTTGTCAACACAGTGAAATTAAAAAAATAATGTCACCATATCATTGGATTTAGTTTAAAAGTTGGGTGGAAAAAATACGAAAATGCCCTTACGTTGATGACTTTAAAAAAAAATACAATCAGTTTTCCATGTTGATTCATTCATCATCACATCCCAAAACATTTTTTAAATGACGTTGAAACAATGTTGATCCAACCAGTTTTTACCCAGTTGGATGTGTGAATGTTACAAGAACATGCAGATACTGTTATGTGGAAGAGGATTTGTCATTTTGTCCTGTTATCTTGTTACTGAATAAACAAACGATCTATATATTGTACTGTAGTTTGCAATGCCTGGAGCTGTAATGTGCATTAAGTGTAGTATAGCTGGTATTTATAACCCCTCCTTAACGCTCTGGCAATGTTCAAGGTTAAGGCACTGTAAGCACCACCACCACCACAATGACAACGCTGTCCTTCAGCACACTACAGTTGACCCCTACAGTTCTCTGTGACCCCTGCCTAGAATTTCATTGTATCCGCCGTGATCGGATGTAGGATCTGTTATATAACCAGTTTTTGCCCAGTTGGATGTGTGAATGTTCCAAGAACATGCAGATACTGTTATGCAGCTAATATCTCCTTCCTTCTGCCTCTATAGGAGAGACATTGATCAGCTCTCCATTACAAGCCCAATTGGCCTTGCTCAGTTGATCACAGTGCAATACATCAGTTTAGATGGGGCTGCTGAGATCTCAGACTGGCAGTGAGGATGGGCCAGTAATATTAGGCCTATTCAATACATCCTCTGGGGTGTTGAGGTTCTCGTAAACGCATGCACGCTTTGCACTTCGCAGCACTCATCTGCTAGACTTATAATGCACTCATCCCTACAGTATATTAGTGTTTGTGTTTGTTAACAATGGTTTACTGTACTGTACACGACCTGTCTGTTTAGCGCTGGTTGAAGGGGATGACTTGGCAGGATTTCAGTAATGGAGTTAGATCTGCCTTATCCCTGACACTGTTTAATGCTCCTGAGAAACCCAGGGATATATATAGCACTCCTACCATGGCCATATGTTCTGCTCCTATAGGCTTTGTCAACAGACTCTCAGTATGCTATACATTACTATAGATTACTCAGTAATCTAGCTAAAGCCAACAAACAGACTGATACACCAGTTATGCATTTATCCGACCAAACACAACCAGTGTTACATCTCTCCATCGTCAAGAACCTGACACTAGAGGAATTGTCTCACAAGAGAAAGTCTTGATATCTCTGGACACTCCCTGTTATTTGGGGTAGACTATTGCCCTGAGACAAGGCTGTTATGTCTAAAAGCTAGACGCCATAGGAGTCTACAGCCATGTCTCAATGCAAGGATATAGATGACTTACTGTATGTTTGTGGTTACATAGTGCATTGTTGTTTTTTGAGTAAAGTGAGACGATTGTAACATTATGAACCTCCTTCTTGGGGTCCAGATGAGAACGATGTCTGATGAGACAGAACCAAGGATGTGTGATGAAGATCTGGAGTCAGATGAGGGGGACGTTGAGGACTACCTGGAGGAAGAGGAGGGGGACGTTGAGGACTACCTGGAGGAAGAGGAGAACAGCAGAGAACTAATGGACCGACTCAGAGAACTAGAGGTGAGTCAACCACAATCATAATGAACTGAATATAAAGCATCTCAAATTATATTATTTTTAAAATATAATTTCAGCACATATTCAGCGCTTTCATTAAAATGTTCACATGAAACATTTACAGTTATGAATAATCTATTGGCTTCTTTTAACAGACAGAGAATTCAGCTCTTGTGTTGGCAAATGAGAGTCAAAGAGAGGCATATGAGAGATGTCTGGATGAGGTGGCCAACCATGTGGTCCAAGCTCTACTCAACCAAAAGGTAAACTGACAATTCATCCTCAACAATCAATCATTATTGAAAGTCCATTTTGAATCACAACCAGTAAGACATGGGTTGTGGTTTTAATGATATGTTTTGTTTTTACATATATGCAGGATCTGCGAGAGGAGTGCATCAAGCTAAAGATGCATGTGTTTGACCTGGAGAGACAGAACAGAGTGCTCTGTGAGCTCTTCCAACAGAAACTACCCAACCAGTCAAGCTCGCACGACCAGGTATAAAGTAATATCACAATCTGCCCTGAGACATGGCTGTAGACTCCTACGGCAACATTACGTCATAAGAGTCTACAGCCATGTTACACCATAGGAGTCTACAGCCATGTTACACACTCTTAGAAAAAAAAGGTGCTATCTAGAATCTTAAAGGGTTCTCCGACTGTCTCCATAGGAGAATCCTTTGAAGAACCCTTTTTGGTTCCAGGTACAACCCTTTTGGATTCCATGTAGAACCCTTTCTACAGAGGGTTCTACATGGAACCCAAAAGGGTTCTACCTGGAACCAAAAAGGGTTTTTCTTATGAGGACAGCCGAAGAACACTTTTGGAACCCCTTTTCTTTTTAAAGAGTGCACTATAGGAGTCTACAGCCATGTCTCAGGGCATTGTCATAATATGCTGTGTATTGATGTCCTGCTGCTGTGTGTTGTAATGTAGCCTATAGTATAGAGTCCTATAACAATTTTTTGCTTAAAGTGGTGTACATGATATCCTAATTGCATTGAATTTACTGTTACAGGTGCAGCCAGGACCCCTCCCAGTGTACAATACACAGCTGCTGCACAATGTCTCTGACAAACAGGTGGAGTCACAGTCACAGAGTCAAGCACAAGCCAAGGTGTGGACAATGCACAGTCAACACTTAATCCTGAGACATGGCTGTAGACTCCTATTGGGATAAACACTGTCTGGGTTACGTTAGCAGTCATGACTTATACTGTTGGGTCCATGGTTTCTCATATGAAATGGCATTTCCTTTCTATTTCACTATAGTAAAGACCTGGACTTTCTAATCTCTGTTAAACTGATTTCCTTCACTTATGCCAACAGTGTTTTTGTTCTGTAGATTTTTCATATACAGTATGAGGCTGCTGTCTTGTTGAAGTGTTATTGAAAGAAATTATATGAATCTTGTTTATAACCTTTATTTAACCAGTTAGTTATTGAGAACACATTCACTTCTACAATAACAACCTGACAATCTTTCTCTCAACAGGGAAATGGGTTCCACCGCACACTGCCACAGGCCCCAGCAACTCCCCCCCGAGGCCCAGCCGCATCCATGGAGGCCCTGTCCCCATTCTTCAAGAAGAAAGCACACATCCTGGAGGTCCTCCGCAAGATGGAGGAGACCGACCCCCTCAAGTTCCACCCCTCGGCAGGCAGCATCTCCTTCTGTGACTACAGCCAGGTTCTGATGTCCACAGAGGCTGTCCTGGCTGCTGGAGACCTGTGTAAGAAGCACCAGACACGCTGCCGCTGCTCCTGCTCAGACTCTGACAACACGCAACACCAGCAGCACATGAATGGTGAAGGGCAGTTATGTCCTACTCACTGCAAGAAGAGCACAGACATTCCAGTCAAATGTAACCATATTTGCACTCCAAAGCCTAACTCAACCCCGAACCACATCAAAGGCACATCCACCACAGCTGCTATTAGTGAATTCCACATCAAGAGCACATCAGTGGAGAAACACCAGACAATGAATGACCACCAGCAACCAGCGGGTCCCAACTCTTACTTGTCAATCACAGGCGTAGATCAGACTAGTCCAGCCAATCAGTGCCCAGAGGCAGAGATAAAGACAGGGCAGGTCCAGGGCACAGATGAAGAGGGCTGTCTTAAAGGAAAATCTGAAGACAGCAGTTTGTTTACTTCCCAACTGCCTGTCCCTGGAGTGAAGGACAACCCTCAGATTGCATACTGTGAGCTGGAAACCAATGGGTTTCTCCTCTCCTCCAATGATAGTGATGATGTGTTGAGTGATGTAGTAATCCCAGAGAAAGACAGTGGCCCAGCAGAGGAGGGGGCTCTCTCAGGGAGAGCCAACGTGGCCTTCAGCCCCATCCCCTCCTCCTGCCTCATCGACGTCAAAGCTGCTGCTATCAACTCCTCGTCCAGGATCGTAAAGTTTATAAAGATCCCCACGATGGCAGAGAGAACCCAGGCAGTGGCCAGTGCTGTCCGTCTGAGCCCACAGCTCACCCGAACCTCCAAGATCCCCTGCCGTACCAATAACTATGAGGTGTACCACTCCCCCGTCCCCTCCCGCAGAGCCACCACCACAGAGAGGACCAGGCAGCCTCCTCCTCCACCCGCCAGGTCAGAGTCCTACCCAGCCACCACACACTCAGCCTCAGCCCCCACCTCCCCGCCACAGCCTGAGGATGCCTGCTCTCCTCCAGCCAAGGAGCTTTGCTACAGCAGCCTCTCTGCCCCCAAGGCAAGCCGTGGTGTTCCCAAGCCACTGGCCCCTGGCACTTCGCAGACACCCAGGGCCTCTTCTCAGAAGGTCCCGTACTATGAGAACGTTTCGGCACTCTCCATCTCGGCTCAGCTGGAAGAATCCAAGGTCCCAGAGAACATAAACATATCATCTTCCTCTTTTACCAACACAGATAGTGACAGGAAGCAAGTGAATTCACTACTACATAAAGAGAATGTCCGGAGTCTCCAGCTGCAGCATTTCTCCCCTGCCTCGGACTCCCCCTCCTCCTCATCTTCCTCATCCTCTTCATCCTCGTCCGATCAGGATGTGAACACAGACAGCCCAGTCTGGCACGGCCACCACAGTCTGCCCAACCCTTCTGCCCTCAGAGCAGCTCAGTCTCAGGGGAGCCCTGCTCACTACGCCAGCATGAAAGACAGAGGATCACAGGACCAGGACGCTAGAGAAACCACCATGCAGAACTCTGATCTCTCCCAGTCCCAGCATCCAGCTCTCCCAGCCAAGAGACACGATCCCTCATCCATTCCCAAGAGGCCTTCTCGGGTAGCAGGGCCAGGGAGGCAGCCAGCCGAGTCTAGTCACACATTCAAAGACAGGCTGGCTGCACTTGGCAAGCTGAGGAGCTCTGAGGATTTACAAGTCAATGTGCTGCTGCCAGTTGACAAGCCAGACCCTCATAGTGATGAGAGTATAGTCACTTTTAACATTGACAGGAGTAAGACAGCGGAGAAGCCTGTGGATGGTAATTTAGAGGAGCAGAGGCACTCGAAATATACAGACTCTTTGGATGTTAAGCCTAAAGGTATTCTTGGTAGTGTTGTTTTGAAGTTCCCTGGTGCCTGTCAGTCCTACGATCCAGCAGCTAAGTCTCTTCTCTCTGGCTCTTCAGTCGCTAAGGCAGAGCTGGAGACGCTCTCATCCAGAGTGGGTGTGACTAATACAGACAACCCCAAAGGTAAACTGGGCCTACCGTCCCCAAACACTGACACTCCCATAGTTCTACAGAACATGAAATGCCCAGCTTCTCTGAACCTGTCTTACCATGGTAAACAACCTGCACCCAGCATCCCTCAGAGCAGCAACAGCCCCAACAAAGTCATGCCTAAGTCCCCGTCTAAACCGTGCCAGGCCCTGGCTCCCTCACCCTCAGCTGTCAGTAGAGGTGGAACTGGGAAACCCACCCTGGATGCCCCAGCACTGACACCACGCTACTCATCCAAGTCAGAGGACAGGAGCAAGCTCAACGCAAACAAGAAGAGAAACACCACAGTGCGCGGAGACAGCCTTCCTCCCCCAAGGCCAACATCAGGCACACAGCAGGAGGAGGAGAGACACCTTGTCCCTATTGTCCCCAGCCCCACCCCCGGCCCTACGTCAGCCATGGAAGAGAAGGTGATGAAGGGTATTGAGGAGAACATGCTGAAACTGGCAGAGCAGGACCGGGACAGAGGACAGGTATTGATGTTTGTTTTCTCTAACTATGGTATAGTGTTGTGTTTTAATGTGTTATTATCAAGTATTTCAGAGTGTTTGCTGTCAGCAATTTGATAAATAAAAACTTTGAACAGGTCACCGAGGTGAAACAGAAAGGCTCCAATGGCATCGCAAGCTGGTTCGGCCTGAAGAAAAGCAAACTCCCAGCTCTGAACCGCAAACCAGACACGCCTCCTAAAATCAAAGACGAGAAGAAGGGTGGAGAGTGGAGGCTGAATATCCCTTCCAAGATGGCGGGGTCTAAGTCTAAAGGAGAGGGGGTGGGGGTGGAGAGCCTGAATATCTCTATGCTGATGGAGAAGGCGGAGGGTCTGAGGAGAGCTCTGGAGGAGGAGAGAGCCTACATGAACGGGGTCGAGGGGGCTGGGAGGGACCGCTCTGGGAGGGGTCACTCCTGTGAGGTGGTGATGGACCAATCACAGGGCCAGTTGTCTGTGATGTACAGGGGAGCGCGCTCAGACAATTTCATGCAGCAGTTACTGAACAGGTGAAGAAATGATAGAAGCAAGCACTGTTGGATTCTATGTATAAGCCAGTTAAGATTGATCTATTGTAAAAAGTGAATTTTGTGCAAAGGTGGAAAGATCAGTTGTTTTGTGTTGCCTTTCCTTTTATAAACAAATTCCTTAATCTGTTGTGACTATAGGGTGGATGGGAAGGACTTCAGTGGCATCAGTGTGGCCCAGAGACGCCTCTCCTTTGACTGTAAGACCTCCAGACCATTCAGCAGCCACCATACAGACAGCATCATCAGCCACAACACCAACAGAGAGGACATGCAGAAGGTAGGCTACAGCTGAATTACGATGAGTATTCATTAGGGGTTCACAGCGAAACTATTGTTATTGTCTGAATTCTTCTTCTTTTTTCCTTGACATGGTCTAATAACTCAAGCATAGATTGGTTAAAAAAGTATCTAATTTGGTACACAGAAACTAGAGCCCACTTTGTGTGTAGGTATCTTTCTTCATGCTGAACAAATTTGCTTTAAGGACCTATAAGGTCCATCATTTTGGAAATGTGGGAAAAGTTGACAAATAACAAATCTGATTTTACATGTCCATTTAAACCACTGTTAATCCACTCAACAGTTGCCTATCAACCTGAAACGTGGAATCGCTATCATGGTTGTCCCTAAGATGAACCACACTGAATTTGGTATTGATATCTCAAAAAACAAGGAAACTATTAACAACTCATTCTTGCATATGTCATGCTAATGCTCAAAATCATCTGCAATCATCTTATCCAACTGATCTTGTGTCCTTTCCGTTCATTGCTGCTCGCAGCTGTATTTTTCACTTTATTATGTGTGACTATTATGTTATTATGTGATTATTGTTGTGTGTATTATGTATGTTTTTTGGCTGTTATTTCACTTCATGAATGTGTGAATGTGCGTATTGAGAACTCTGTTTCTGTTTTTTCTTTACTCAGGGTTCAGAACATCTGATAAGTAACATCCCCTCATATGAGAATTTAGCTGACCCAGTTCACTCCCAGCCCTTTGCAGGTAGGAAAATGGTCTGCTCACAATCCTTGTTTATGGAGGCATCCAGTCTTGCTTTGATTTAGTTCATCCTTACACTTTACATAATCAAAACAGAAAATGTTTTACATTTCATAATTGCCTTTGGTATACAGGAGCTATTAACCGAAAATGACAACGTGCACATTTATCAAAATGTAACAAGTGCAATTCCTCTCCTCTCTCTCTACTTCTCCCCTCTCCTACTAGCTTCTGGAGCCTCCACTTACACACTAGACAGTGGCATTGGCACCTTCCCTCTGCCTGACTACAGTAGTGGGGCAGCAGGAAGAAGCATGTCTAAGATGAGGGGGGCTGGAGCTGAGCATGGCTCCTCTAGTTCCCCGGGGAGGGTAGGAAGGAGGGCTAGGACCCTGGACAGAGAACCCACGTCCCTGGAGCAGTGCTATCAACCTCACAGAGAGATGACCACGCCGGTACTGTACGGGTCTGTACTGGAGGGGAAAGGCATGAACAGACAGACAGCTGGGGTCATTCATGAAGGTACAGTACTGAGAAATATACATCACAGTTCATAATATCAAATGCTGTATATCACAGTATGCAATATGAAATATATCACAATACACTATATCAAATATTTAATACTCAAAATCAAACACATCATAATACCTGTATAGCAATCTGATGATTTGGTATAAGAAACTTTAATGAGTTTTATACAATAAATACTTTATGTATGGACTCTTTCATTTAGAATAATCCTGAATAAAATGTATTTTGTAACCTTTGCAGACAAAGAAGCTTATGGAGCTCACATGCTGTCCCCCCACTCAAAGACCTGGACGTTCCCCAACCTGAAGACCCCTACAGGGCCCACTGAGGTGTACCTGGCCATGGAGGAAGAGGTGGAGACTGCCCCCTATGGATCCCCATTCAGAGGGGTGGGTTGAAAATGATAATAATGTCAGACTAACTATTTTTCATTTGTAATATTTAAATTCTTTACAATAATGTATTCATGAATAATTTAGAATAGGATTATTAAAAATTAATTGTGGATTTGTGACATTTGTGAACTTTTTACAAATAACTAATGACTCTCTCTTCCCTCCCTCCTTATCCCTCCCTCCTTTCCCTCTTTCCTCCTCCCTCCCTCCCTCCCTCCCTCCCTCATTCTCTCCCCCCTCCTCCTCTCTCCACTCCTCTTCCACCTCCTCCTTATAGAAGGCCTGTGGTCCCTCTGTCTCTCGTAACATGGATCCCAGCAGTCTGCCGGTGCCGGCCCAGACAGGGTTGAGCCGACGTGGGAAGATCCGCAGTACGCCCAGTGCCCCAGACATGGGCCTTGGCCGGGAGGCGGGCCTGGAGCTGGTAAGGGAGAGGCCTGAAGAGGCCCTCTCCCCCAGCCGACCCCAGGTCCTAGAGACCCCCGAGTCGCTCAGTGACTCTCTCTACGACAGCCTCTCTTCCTGTGGTAGCCAGGGATGACCGGGGGAGGCAGAGAGACAGGTGCTTTGCAGATCTTACAGTGGCGCTGACTGACCCACCTTAATAGAACATGGGATATGGACTGTGCTAAGATATACCCTTTTCACACTATCGTGCCAATCCGAACCATATTGGACTGGCTCGAATATTTTCTTTTCACATTGTCCTTTCCAGAATGGTTTCAGCTACTATGGTGGATGCGTAACCCGGCCAGCCGGATACAGCTTGGTTCGACCCAGCTTGGTTTGGCTCAGTATTGTGAAAAGGGTACAAGTGGCGCTGAACACCCTTAGAGGAATATGGATAAGGACTGTGATAAGATGGTCCCCTTAGGACTTCCATGTATGCTTTCTCACCAGCTATGTTGCAAGGTTAACTGGAAAGACAAACCTCTCCTCAGGATAACTACAACCCAAAGGATATAGACGATTCAGAATAACACTGATTTATGACGGGAGGTAATTGGACAGAACACACTCCGCTAACCAAAATAGTTATTTATATCATTTTAGGATTATGAAATACACAGACAAGCTGACAATATCAAACATTCTCACAGTCTTTGTTGAAATTGAATATGCCTTGTCCAATCTTACTCTGACCCTCACCAAAAGATCTTACTGTATTTATTACAGACTACAGAGCACTGAACACCCTGACCATGCAAGAACTTACTACCAATACGTCCTTCTCTTTTCTTTATCAGTTCACACAATAATGTACCGATTCCTTTATCTTGAGCTCTTCAAAAATGAATGTTAATGTTTGTGATTTTTCGCTATTGAATAAATACATTACAATTGTTAAGTATACAATTGTTTGTTGATGGTGTTGTTCAGATTATTTCTCTGTAACTGCCAAGAAAGCTTGTCAGAATATGTGTTTAGTTTAGCTCACCATTCTTTGAAGGTAATAGATGCCAGCAATAATATTATGAAAAAGAGATGTGGCTACATTATTGTCCAATTAATATGTATTTGTATTATTTATTTATTTTCATGTTAAATCAACTTCACATAATTTGGGTAATTGTCAATTTTGGGGTAATCTTGTGTAAATGCAGTCACCTGGCTAAAATAGATTATTGTTTAATGCTGGATGTCATAATCTTGAACAGCCAAGATGTCAACATTCTTTTTAAAATGTTTTTATGATTGTTTCTTGTGTTCTCACTGAAGCACAAATAAATACAAGAAAATGACACCATACACCTTGCTATTGAAATGTGTATCTGCATGTTTGCGTGCAAGTACTGCAATGAAAAAAACTGCATTTAGTTGAGCATTTTTCAATGTATTTAAATAAATGTATCAAATTAGATTATCATTATTACACTTTAAGGTATGTTTTTCACAGTATACAGATTATCAAAATATGAAAGAAAAAACATTTGGAAAAAATATTGCGAGAGAATGCATCAGCATTTGATCCATCTCATCTACAGCCTTGACCAGTCATTTTTGTGGCGCTAAAACTCACCAGTCTGACAATAAAGTGCACATCTAAATCTTCATGAAAAGTCATCTGAATTACCAAAACAGTACCAAAAGATTGTTTATAAGGTTATTCTTCAAGGTAACATACATAAATGGAGAAGATCACAATAATATCTCAAGGAGAAGGGGTGCTAAAGATTATCACAGGTCATGATGTCGGTCACATCCTTTCTATAAACTAAACTAAACTAAAAAGATTGGGGGAATAGCATTGACAACCAATCAAAATATTATGACTTAAAATAAAACAATGATTAATCTCCAAAAGCTCAAACAGCCTGCTGAAAAATCTTGTACTCGCTTTTTATGGCAGAAAAAGACTTCAGACAGTTTTGCGAATGTAGGCCTTCATAGAACAACCACTCCCCCTACAGGACAAGCATCATCACTGCAGCGGTAGCCTAAAGACAACCTTTTATCATAACCTCCTTTTGCAAGCTCAAAACAAAGCAAGAAAACTAAATACCATACATAAGTTAACAAAGAACGACCAATAGTAAAAGCACCAACAGCATTGCAGACAGAGGCTTTGTTGCTGGTTCTGTTCCTTGTCACAGATCGTTTTTAATTGGATTTCTTCCATCTACTTATTTTCTTTCTTCTTGTCCTGAAAATATTAAATATGATCACAATTTGCATATTGTGAAATGTGCTTATATGAGGAAAAAGTAAACAGTACATTCCATGCTAGATTCATCTTCTGTCTGTGAAAAAACTTAAAATAAATAACCTTCATGGCAAGAAGAATGAGTTTTCTGAAAATGGTCACAAAGTCGAGGAACAGGTCCACGCAATGCTTTCAAAAGACAGAAAAACAATTACTTCATTGCAATTACTTTATATATTATTTTTCATTCTAATACATCAGCAAGTCAAAAGCTTTACTACTGCTTTTTTGGTGAACTGTTGAAAAGCCTCACCAGATGTAGTCCTTGTCTCCGTTCTCTGCTTTCTCAATGATGAGCTGAGTGTCGAACAGAACAAGCCACACATAATGACCAGCCCCAGGCTCATGTGAGCCTGTTAGTGAAGAGAAGAGCCATGTTACACCTGGGTCACCTTGCTGAGACCTCCTCACACAATTATACTACACACTTCCAATGTATGAGTGGAATCACTTCACATCCGAATCACGAGAGAGATGGATCTATAAATATTTAGGCTACCTTGAAGAGTATCGCTGATCCAAAGAACATGTTCACCACAGACACCAGGAACAAGATGGACAATCCAGACATCAGAGTCGCTGAAATGAACAACAAATAACACATCACATCAAAGAAACATCAAAGAAGTAAATCACATCGTAAAACAAAATATATATATACAGTACCAGTCAAAAGTTTGGACACACCTACTCATTCAAGGGTTTTTCTTTATTTTTACTATTTTCTACATTGTAGAATAATGGTGAAGACATCAAAACTATGAAGTAACACATATGGAATCATGTAGTAACCAAAAAAGTGTTAAGCAAATCAAAATACATTTTAGATTCTTCAAAGTAGCACCCTTTGCCTTGATGACAGCTTTGCACACTCTTGGCATTCTCTCAACCAGCTTCATGAGGAATGCTTTTCCAACAGTCTTGAAGGAGTTCCCACATATGCTGAGCACTTGTTGGCTGCTTTTCCCTCACTCTGCGATCCAACTCATCCCAAACCATCTCAATTGGGTTGAGGTCGGGTGATTGTGGAGGCCAGGTCATCTGATGCAGCACTCCATCAAGCTCCTTGGTCAAATAGCCCTTACACAGCCTGGAGGTGTGTTTTGGGTCATTGTCCTGTTGAAAAACAAATGATAGTCTCACTAAGCGCAAACCAGACGGGATGGCATATCGCTGCAGAATGTTGTGGTAGCCATGCTGGTTAAGTGTGCCTTGATTTCTAAATAAATCACGACAGTGTCACCAGCAAAGCACTCCCACACAATCACACCTCCTCCTCCATGCTTCATGGTGGGAACCACACATACGGATATCATCCGTTCACCTACTCTGCGTCTTACAAAGACGGTTGGAGCTCTCGTTGTCGATAAACTGTATATTGACAACCAAATGTTCCGCGACACAAAGACCACTCCATGGCTATTCTGAAAGTTCTAATAGAGGAGTCGAATAATGGAACACCCAATACTAGCCATGGTAGGGATTGTAATAATAAAGCACATTTATAGTATTTATAGTATTTTATAAAGGGATAAGACGGTATTACAAGAAAAGATAACAAGCAAAGTAATATATCTTCAAATACAACTAAATTAGAACACAATGTCAGGCGTCAGTGTGTAGCGGTAGGACGGAGTCAGGCGCAGGACAAAGAGCTAGTAGACAACGTAGTTTACTCGTAAATAACAAATGAACATAAACTCCACGCAGGGAGGACAATCCCACTCACCAGTCGATAACACCAAACATAGAACAAACACGCACACAACACAGTGGGAGCCAGAGGGTTAAATAGGGAACAAATCATAGACATAATGGGAACCAGGTGTGTACACTGAAGACAAAACATGTAGAACCCAGAAACATAGATCGGTAGCAGCTAGTACGAACGCCGAAGCCTGCCCGAGCAAGTAGGAGGAGCAGCCTCGGCTGAATCCGTGACACACAAGTACTCAATCAACATAGTGGATATAAAAACATAACAAAGGCACAGTATGTGGGAATGTGTGGATGAATTGTGATGGAAGGTGTGGTATGCGTTTTTGTGTTTGAAAAAGTGAGTTGCCTATATGCAGCCAAAACAGAAAAATAAATGCGGTCAGAGACCTGCTTGAGCAGCACCGCCCCCTCAAGATTCTGAGCCTGCCTGGCAGGGTTGGTCCTACAAAGCCAGAGCCCCCTGATGGGAGAGCATAATATACAAGGAAATTCTCAAAGCTGCAATGAGAACCTTGACGACCTTGTACCTAGCCGGTGGGGATTCCGGTGGGGTACCCCCACCCAGGTAGTGGCAGTGCTGGCAACACTGGCTGCAGTAACCCATGGGGAGGGGGTCACACTCGGACAATCAGAGAGGGGGATTATTATTGTGGCCCAGGTGGCACAAAATAGGTCTGACTGCACGGAGATGCTTGGGAAAAATGGTTACAACGGGGGCCCAGAGTGTTTGTGTCTCAGGTGAAAAGGGTGGATCTGATCTCCATCACCTAGGACTTGACATAGATTAAATAGATTAATCAAATCTCACATTGTTGTCAATTTTTGCTCGATCTTGCATGCTTTCTCAAACAGCTGTAACTGTATATGCATTCGTAAATCAGGTCCTTTCTTGAGTTGGGCTCTGGGATGTAACAACCGTTGAGCATCTGATCTTATGGTTGATTGTGGAGGAAAGGGGTTGAGTGTGTTAGAGTATGTGCGTGTGTGTTTATCCCACATCTGTTGCAAGGGGGTAAGGATGTTAGGGAGAATATAGGATGAACCACAATAATTGTTTGCTAAAATAATAATTGCTTGTCAAAAATGTAATGTAATACAATGGCAATCTGGGTTATAGG